AGAAAAATAAAAAAAAGGAAATAAGCATAATTGCTGCTAATGAGGAAATGGTTGACATAAAATCAATCAAAAATTATGCAGAAGCAAATTAGCATGTTTAAAACTTACTTACCTGTGAAAAAGAAGCGCGCAGTTGAGAATATTAACAGAAATTAGCCGGATTCAGCTCAAAACAGCTGATAAATTTCGATTGATCGACAGACGTGGCGAGAGCGCAGACGGAAAGGCTGCGTCGTACTGCTGAGATAGTGTGGATGCGGAGGAGTGCAGACGACAAGACGGATTGCCAGCCACCCGTCTTCACCACTAAGATTCGCTATGGAACGGCAACGTTCCATTGCGGCGCAGTTGCGCCGCAGCGCTAGAAAGTCCGTGGGACCGCCCCCCTCAACTGGTCGGATATGGACTGTATGTAAGCTCCAAATTCCAGAGACCTAGGTTACCTAGCAGTGTGATTGTGTTTTACGCGAAAGTTGCATTTGTCCAGTTGCACACCAGTGTATCGCAAAAGTCTCGAATATGATCCCCTTCGGTGGTAAATTACTGATAGCTGGTTACCTGGTTCCGGCCGCTACCGGGTCAGAACTACACTGCGTCTCCTGATGATACAGCCGCCTATAAATTGTTCAAAATCTTCATTCCATAAAGGTTCTGGAAAACTGTTCAAGATGAAAAATGTGTCAAATTTGATCGCAAATTCGAAAATCAACACAAAATTCCAGGTTGGAAATGCGAAAATTTTTCTTTGCTAATTTTTCACGAAAAACGCTTTTCCACGTCTCCAAATGATACAGCCACCCCGTGTTTTTTCGTTGTATTTCATTTTTGCTTGATGAAACTTGATGGTAGTCATCAAATTTTCTTTTCTAGGTTATCACAAAAGGAAAGCAGTTGAATCGCGAAAAAAGGGCAAATGGTCGCAAAAAAAAGAAAGAGTAAGCGCCAGTGGTCACATTGCGCGGAAGTTAGTCGAAGCTACAAAATGATAAACAATTTCTTCTAGCATGCCGAAGGAAATAAGCTGAAAAGGGCTCTGAGAGCTCCTATTTGCTTTTTGATCAAGATTAACCCATTCGCGACCGCGCAGGATTGCGCAATAGCAGCAGCGTCAGGAGATTTTTCTTCAATAAAATTTGAGTGGAGGGAGATTTCCTCTGCCCAGGGCTGGCGTAGATGAGCGAGGGTATGAAGATTCTTTTCATGGAAGAAAACTTTCCAAATTCCATTTCAAGCCCTGCAGCCACAGTAATGCCATTGTCCCGAGTGAGAGCTTTGTCAGCCACCGGTGGCTGACATTGTCACGAATGGGTTAATAAGGAATTATGAAAATAACATCCAATTTCATCAAGCCGTGCTCGAAATTAGAGTCTTCTTTCAAAGTTAATGATTTACTGAATAGTGCTTGGTGAAGTAGTGAAGAACTTCCAAGTTCGCTCTCAAGCGGAAAGTGAAAATAGCAGTGTTTCTGAAAGAAACTGTAACAAAAACCGAGGACATTTTTGCGAGGAAAGAGTAGTCAAGCCAAAGTTGGCTGGCTGGCTGCATCGTCAGGAGACGCATGTATTATCAACAAAACGAGTGTATTGCATATTTATGCCAATGTAGTGATGTGCTTCATCTGCCTTCAATGCGACATTTAATGGAATAATGTTTGACTGCTTACTATATTTATCTTAATATCCGATAATATACGCTCAACATATCTACAAAATAGCGAATAATAGTGATTGGATACACTTGCATTACTGTTAAAGGTGTACGAACAATGGCAATGACAATGTCGCGCTAAAAACAATATCTCCACTCCAACAAATTCTGAAGCAGGAATCATATGTATACAAATTGAGCATGAATAAACGGCCCAGCTTCATATTATAGAAATAGACGGAGAAACGAAAGACGAAAGACCTCCGATGAAGCGTAGTTTTCTTGCACCCTTCACTGCGAACGTCCGCCTCGTTCAAGGAGACCGTCGTTTCCTTTGGAATAATTCCTTTCTTGATCTCCGATCTTATTGGACCTACTAACTTTTTTGTTGGATGATGCCTTCGATTTAGCTTGTTCGAGAACCATTCTATCCATATCCTCTCTCCACAAAAGTAGCACCAAAGAAAACCAAAGGAAATCAAAGAAATAAAACTCACTCGTTCTGCGTGCATGCGTCACTTCCATCCAACCTGATATTTTTAGTTTCCTGAAATTTTTCTCGCATCTTATGCGGTATGTATACTTGTTGAACCCTTCCACCACATGTGCACTCGCAGTCAGACACCTTGTCGGTGATCTTTAGCTAACTGTTATCCACGCTTGTTACGAGGGAAATGCGAATAAGCCAAATAGAGTGCTAAAGTACTGGACAAGGTGCCTCCAGAAGGAATGTAGAGTACACGAGGCTACTTGCGTCGCCGCGATCGCTGCGATAAGGTGTTCGGCTGAAAGCGGGAAATCCATTTTAGCCGCAGTAGGCGCTCATGTCCTTGGTGGGGACATTACAACAGAGCCGATGGTAGGTGACACTTGGACTAAGCCCAGGAGAGGGGAGAAACGCCAGGGAGAACACATACATTGCTCACATCCTACCCAGAATCCCTTCCCCTGCCTAAGGCTTAGTCCCAAGCACAGCAATTGGCTCACTAACTTGAATGTCTCCCCCCCCCCCTCCCCCAACGGCATGAGCGCCGCCGCAGTGTTCACTATCAGGGTCAAGCGTGCGTTGAGGAATCCTCGACATGTCACAGAGGGGGGGTCGTATTGGCCCGCTGGGGAGAGATCGGGCCCGATTGATACAGTAGGATCATCGTCGGAGGACAAACATCAAGGATCGAATCGATACCAGGCCAGAGTATTTCCAATAACAATTGATTCCGTCCACACAAAATCTTCGTGATTTAGAGGTGTCCGCTTAGCAATTCTTAGTTACTTCAGTGTTTCATCACCACACAAGTTAAAGAATCCGAAATTCGCACGTTTTCCAGGGATATTTTATCTTTCAAGTAGGTCCTCAAATCCAACGGATGTGAAAAGTATAAAAAGTGAAAAAGTCAAAGAATGATCATTAATGACGAGTCCTGTCAAACGAGCAAACGAGAAACGGAGCAAAAAACGTCAAACTAGTCACTAGAAATGGCGTACTATGACAACACCTCTTCTTTGTTTATTTCCTCCACAAGACTTACCAAATTCTAGTACTACACAGATTATGGTTCTCAATTTACACGTCCCCCTTTCGCTCAAAGGAAGCCTTGTAAAAGCCTTCGCCAGCTGTGTGTTGACTGGACTTTGGCGTTGACCGTGGAGCAGCTTATTTACTATTGAAATTTGAACAAATATTCAAATGATTATAACTTTCTTCAAAGTTAACGAATTTTCAATCTGAAAGCTGATTTGGGAGTTTTGTGAAGAGCTTTTTCTAATCAGTACTGAAATTACAGGAAGTTATAAGAAATAACAAATTTAGATCAAATAACGAGGAAAATTCGAGACGAGCACGAGTTTTTACACTTTCCGGAGCAATAACTTGCTTCATTTCCGTCAAATTCAAAAAGTTGATACGTCATACAAAACTAGAAGATTTTCTCTATCAAACGGTCGCTAAAGCAGCTTCATACGTCCAGTACTCAAAAAATGGCCACGTTGAGGATTTTTGCAAAATTAACGAGGAAAATTCGTGATGAGTGCGAGTTTTTACGCTTTCCAAAGCCATAACTCCGTTCAAACTCATGCAATCTGGAAAGTTAATACGTCATCATAAACTAGAAGATTTGCTCTTTCTAGGGCAACTAAAACTGCTAAATACGTTCACTATTAAAAATGGCCACGTTGAGGATTTTTGCAAAATTAACGAGGAAAATTCGTGATGAGTGCGAGTTTTTACGCTTTCCAAAGCCATAACTCCGTTCAAACTCATGCAATCTGGAAAGTTAATACGTCATCATAAACTAGAAGATTTGCTCTTTCTAGGGCAACTAAAACTGCTAAATACGTTCACTAAAAAATGGCCACGTTGAGGATTTTTGCAAAATTAACGAGGAAAATTCGTGATGACCGCGAGTTTTTACGCTTTCCAAAGCCATAACTCCGTTCAAACTCATGCAATCTGGAAA